AAAAAAAAAAAAAAAAAAAAAAAAAAAAAAATGTTATTGGGGAAGGAGAAATAGTATACAGAAGAAGGAGAAGCTATAACTGAAGGGTAGAAGGATTAACCTTTATTTCTCTAATAAGCACCCATTTTGGGTGAAGGATTATATAACAAAAATAGAGGATAGCATTTCCAAGCCAGTTTCATAGATCTTTCTACTGAATGACATTACGAAGTAAAACCAAACAGATGTATGAGTCATACCTGTCCTTCCGAAGCAAAACGTGTCTTAAAGAGCCATCAACCATGTACTCTGTGACAGTAGCCAATGTATTCCCAGGGCCATCATGTACCACACCATAAAAAGCAACCACATTTGGGTGGTGAAGCTTGGAGAGAATTTCAGCCTCCCTCCAAAATTCCATCGTCTGAAATGTAAAAAAGTCAGAATGTCGTCAAAAGCCATATATAAGAAAGGATCGAGGAATAAATGATAATAACAAACTAACAATATCCACAGAATTTATGCAAGTTCACTTTCATGAATCTTCAAATATTAGATGACATTTTAAAAGCATACAAACGTAAAATATAAACAAAAAATACATAACGTGTAGGATTTATTTAGTGAAAAAAGAGTAGCAGACTACACAATAAATAAGTACTAATTACCTGTCTCTCTTGCTCCGACTGACGGCCAGTGAAGCAACTCTTCTTTATTCGTTTGATTGCTACATCTGAACCCCTCCACTTCCCATGATATACAGTCCCAAATGTGCCCGATCCAAGCTCCCTCAGTTCCTCAAGATCTGCATTCTTTATTATCTGGAAATGCCATCACACAGTTGTTAAAAATACACAATTCAATGTCTGATTTCAGTGTTAAATGTTAAGTTGCAACTTACAACCAAGTTAATGATGCCGACTCATTTTTACAGAACAATGACGTAAGAACTCATATATCTATGTTTAAATTGTAAATCACTGAACCCGTTTACAACATATAACTATGTTTAAATTGTAATAGAGCAAATCCTTCCAAACCCGTAACTTACAATCATCCAATATATTTTTTTTATATATATATATTATCTTTTGAAAAATAAGCTGGCACTGAATTAGTTAGTTCTGTGCGAACAAAAAGCTAGCACGAACTCCAAAGTCACATATTGGTACATACCTGCAGTGAGGTGAGATCAATATCCACCAAAGACGGATCTAGAGATGGCAAGCAATTATTTCCAAATCCATCCTAGAATACAGGAGACAACAAGTGATTCACTCAAGACATGATCAAATAAATGATGCTCATCTCCAGAATTCAGAAAACAACCACATACCTCAAATTCTGAGTCACGATTTCTCATATTGCCCATCAAATCATCATAATGCATGGCTTCACTGACTTTCACCAGTGATGCATCATAATCAGGATGAACAACTGTAGAGACAGCTCCAGCTCCACCACTGGCAAGTACTTCTTTCTGATTATTTTCTCCGAATTTCTCGTGAACTCCCCTGTGACCAGGAAGAATTCCATCTCTCGCCCGTGGTACAAAGTCATATGCTAAAGGTGCCTCTTCCTCAACTTTCGTAAGGACAGATGGAAACACAACTTGGTCTTGATCAATAAGAGAAACATCCCTTCTAGTGAATTCATCACCCGCCAGCCTCTGGAAGAAAGACCAATGTTTGGGGTCGTGATTCTCTATGTTAACACTCAAACCGGGCCCATCTTTTGGTAGAAGGCCAAAATCAGAGGAACTATCAGAAAGAACAGCCTTTGTGAATATATCAGATAGAAGATCACGAGGGAACCGATCATTGATATCAATAAGAATGTCTCCTTGCTTGGTCACAGGAACACCAACAACCGGCTCTTCCGGATTTCCAGTCCAAGTTGATGGTTGAGCATCCTTATTAATGGCCTGAGTGTTAACCCCATCAACCCACTGAATAGTAGAATCTTCAGAGTGTTTCACTGTATCCTCAAGGCTCACATCCGGTAGCTTCAATCCAGGCTTCGTCTCTGCCTTGAGAAAATGATTGGTGCATGTGGAATCTTTAACTTCAATTGGGTCCACCTGTTTCAGCTTCTGATTTCTACTAATCCCATTAACAACAGTTTCCAATTTTTGAGGGACGGCCCGTTCTGTTGAGTTTGGCTCTTCAGTAGGAATATTCAAATTCACCTTCTGCAGTTTTTCAAACAAATTCTGCTGAGAATCATCATTATTTGACTGATTAACCAGAAATTGAGAATTGTGTGAATCATCCGACTTCGATATTCTGGTGAGAGACTCTCCCTGCTCCCGGGGAATCCACACGGAACGGAAGACCCTCTGTGGAGGAAGTGAAGACTCGAGGTAGCTCAAATCAGTAGGACTAGACTCTGAATTGGTGGGTTCAGGAAAAGGGGCATTATTTACGGAAGGAAGATACTCATTGCTACCGGATAATGGAGGAACAGTATCGAAAGGCTTAGTTACGAGTGAAGGTTCCTCGGGCCTCCCCTTGCCCTTTGATTCCTTTGATGATAACTCTCTCTCCAGTTTAGGGACCGTGGACAAAGACTCCGCAACAGGTAGATTAGCTGGGGCACTATCACTTTGAGTCAATGAAGGAACAAGTTGCTCGTTAGCAAAGATTAGCTGTTTTTCACTCTCCGACTTAATCAGGCCATCGGCCTTTGGTCTACCGTCTTTTTCTTGCACGTCCTTGCCAAGTATTCCCGAGCTGTTAAGAGGCATCCCTTCAAGACCGTTTTGTTCAGGAACAGGCACATAAGAAGATTGAGGCAGACCCATTTCAGTAGGCGCGTAATATGGAGCGTGAAGATTGTACCCGAAATGTGGAGGATGCTGACTTTCTTGGTCGTGTGGTACGGTTTGACCATGATAGAATCGAAAATCAGCGCCATAAATTCCAGAGGAAGTTGGCGCAGTCAATGCAGAAGGTTCCATTTGTAATGGGGGGACAACAAAACCTGCCAAATTTGAGCTACTAACCCCAGCAAGCTCAGGGCCCTCAGCCCTACTCATGTCCCTACTAACAACATTCTGCGTATCTAACTCGTTTAGATTATTCCCAGATGAGTTCTCCATACCATGTAAACCAGAGACCTTACGGGACCCAAAGTCAATGCCATTGACAGCCACTACGTATTTCATCTCCGAACTGCCTTCGCCATTGGTTAGACTGAAATTGGCATCGTCCAAATCCCCGGGAGAGAACAGAAACATCCGAAGCTTTCTCGAACCTTCTCCGTCTTCCAGAACATTACACTCTTCCATCATGTTCAGTACATCCTCGTCACTCGATATGGAGACCAAGGCATCAAGATCCTCCCCAGGGAGCTGATATTTCACGGTGCACGTCTCTTCATAGATTGCTTTCGTTTTCTGCCACAACTCTTTCCATGTAATATCCCTGTTTATCCGGATTATACGAGTTTCCCCCCCTACATATCTGAGTTTTCCATCACTAGGCCGAGGCAGAATCTTCCCACCAAAGCTGCATAAGATCTTAAGCTTCGTCGCTGAGCTGTCGGAAGCTCCGGACGAGGTGTACATGAGCGGAGCACGTGAAGAGCCATTGTTATAACCAACCTTGTCTTCGTTTGCAGTCGGATTCTTTTGCGTGAAATCTCTCGATTCCTTTTCCGCGGGGACGCTCATGGAGATTTCAGAACCGCTTTCAGAGCCCGTGCGGCCAATTCCCAAAATGCCCTTTAGCTCCAAGTAACCAGGAGCTTGACAGGGGTCACCGGAGTTTTCTGCTGTGAGCTTCTTCGGGTTAAACCTGTCGCGCATGAATTCGAGCGCAAATTCCTCGCCGGTCTGTATGGAATAGTTAAGCACTGGTTTGACTTCTGAGAAAGAAATCTCCGGCAGCTTCAGGTTCGCGTTCACATGGCTTGAAGGATCAGCCATGAGAACTTGCGGGTCAGGACCATGATCTTCAGTTCTATGTTCAGAGGAACGGAAATTGACCGGGTCTTGGCTTTTTTGTGGTTCCATGTAGAAATTGCTGGTTTTCACCTCTTTTAGATAACAATGCAATTGGGACAGTTTTCGCAGCCACAATCTTTCGAGTAGATTGCAAAATCCAGAAAGTAGGAACACAATCCTTAGCACAAAGCAAAGACCGTGCTTGGAAACAAGTTCAGCGGTATTTAAGCAATACATGTAAGTAAAATCTTCGGAGCATTGTCTGGATGAAAGCGTGATCGTATGGGCACTTTCGACATCAATAAGTAGAACTAATCATACTGCAAATTTGAAATACCACAAGTCAAAATTCAAACACGAAACACATTACTGTATGTTCATGTATTAAGCATTCCACTTGAAAAAACATAAAATCTTCCATTATATTTTTATTCATTTGCAAGTTGAAAACGCTATGAAGGGCCTATCCCAATTAAGGGACATCCAAAATGCATGACTAAATGACCACATGAGTGAAGTATAGTCATTCCAAAAGTTCTTTTTTTCCCCAAGTTAATGAAAAGGTGATTATATGTTTAATAATTTGCTTGTTCTAGTTCAAATGGTAGCCGTGCTCGACAAAACTCAGAAGAAGAGATCCCCATTTTTCAGGCTCTCTTGAACAACATCACAACAAAATCTACAGGCGATTTCAGAATTCGAATCTCTAGAATATTAGGAGCCTACAGATTCCAAGAACGTCATTAACTAAATCAACAGTCAGTCAGTCACAGCCCTGCAAACAACTAAGCTCAGCTATTCATCATCCAAATGAAGATCCCTTAAAGCGCTACCCCATGAAAAAATCCACCAGATGGAAAAACTCAATTAACAATAAGAAAAACACAAAAAAAAAAAAAAAAAAAAAAAAAAAAAAAAAAAAAAAAAAAAAAAAAAAAAAAAAAAAAATCTAAAATCAAATCCCTTGAACATAAAATTCACCACCAAATCAAACAACCGAAACATCCCAGAACCCTAATTTCCTAAATTGATCCGAAGATCAGTACAAGAGCTGCCGTACAATCAACCCCTGCTAATCCATGATAAAAACGGATCAGAATCAACTGAATCTCCGAATCACATGATAAGATTTTACCTCAAGAGACCAATGCCACTGTGAGGAAGCTGAGCCTGTTGACTAATAAGTCCGCCATTTTCGCAGCTCAATTTCTTGTATGTTTGAATCAAAGTGAGAAGATTCAAAAAAGTTTTTTTTTTTCTTTTTTTTTTTTAATCTATTTTAGAAAACATTTTTTAAGGTATAAATAACCTTAATCTGAATGAACTGTAAATTTAAATGGTGGTTTTCGTGTTGTTTTTTTTTTAAGAAGCTCGACACTTCTCGGACGCAAGAGAATGACGACTCTCACGTCTCTCAACACTCTCTCTACAATGTACGTGAAAAAGGAACTTCCTAATATGACCTTATATCTCTAGTTAACTACTTTACTGTCCATTGTTATTTTATTGTTCTTTTCCTCGTTACGGAACTATTACGTTGGAGTTTGTAACCGTCAAATCAACTACCATTTTGTCGGAGTTTGTAACCGTCAGATATAGTTGATCTAACGGTTACAAACTCCGACGTAATGGTTCCGTAACGAGACCGTAACATTTCCCATAAATATATTCGCTCAAAACGAATCTTTTTCGTTAATTTAATTTAAATTTTGAAAACTATGACATGGTTAGTTGTTGGTTATATTTTGAATTTATATTAAAATAATATTTAAAATAAAATAAATAAAATTGATTTGATGTAAAAGTATGAGAGATATGATGAGAAGTAATGATTAGTTAAACTTATGTGGGTATAGGTGAGTAATGAATTAAAATTGATACGACGTGTAAGAATGATTGGTTGATATTATTAAGAGGATTTTTTTAACCTCCTAAAATATGCTGATTTTTCGTATTTGCCTTACCAACTTTTTTTCTTGACAATTTAGCTACCGTCGTAATCGAAACTGAAAATTGCCTCATCGATTGAAAACCCTAATATGGCATTTTTTTTTAACTCAATTAACGATGAATTTTAAATTGATCTTTAAAATTGATTTAGGGTTTTAAAGCACATGGCGAGAGGAACAAAATGAGGTATGGTTTGTCGATTTTCGAAAATTGATGTCTCTGTAATCGATCGACGAATATAGTAGGAGCACGTGTGTATAGAAAAATTTCAATTCAAGTTTCCTGTTAATGACTTATGACTGAAAAGTAGCTTATATGATACAAGTGTTTGGTAAAATTAGCTGATAAGCTAGTTGAAATAAAAATTTCAACGGGCTTATCTAAAAAATTATTCAATGACGTTCATGAGATAAACTCGAACTTTTTAAAAAAATATGTCTTCCCAATCCAAACTTATTTAGAAATATGAAACTTATAAGCTAATTAAATAAATTATAAGCTTGTTTACGATATTTACTCTAAGTCTAAAAAAAAAAAAAAAAAAAAACTCAATAAGTTCACTTTTAAAATTGAATTTGGTAAAACAATACTCTCAGTTGATCATTATATTTAATGTATAAAGCATTATGATAATATTTTGAAAAGAACAATTATTGTTTTGAGAACCATAGCAACTAATTAATATGCCTAATGGTAACTTGTTATGGACGTACTTTATTTTCTTTCAAGTGAAGCGAAATGGTTGACGGGATTATTTTTTATTTTTTTTCCTCCTAGCTATCCTTTAATTCCTTTTTATATGTTATTTCAAAACGTGTTGAGCCTAGGTGATAGATTCTCACGCTTCGAATGCTGACATGGCGAAAATCTATGTTTCGTGATGTTGTTTTTATATTATTTTTGCTATGGAGTTAGGTTTGGTAGACATAAATAACTTTATACATGTATTCATTAACTCAACACACATGTTGTACATGTGTATTAATACTAGTTTTTTTTATCTATAATATTAAGTGTACATTAATTTATTAAAATCATAAGAAAAAGTTTATTGATGTTACACAATGTAGTGTTTGAATTACAACGGGAACCTATGAACTGACTGAAGTCTTCAGTTCGTACAAGAAGAACTAAAACAAAATAAAAATTACAACTCAAATGCGGACAGATTGAAAGCCGAGGCGATTAAAATCTTTCCGCAAGACAAATACGCCCCGTATAGTGCTGACGGGTCTGTGTGTAATGTCCTCAAAGATACAACGGTAATACACTTGGAAGTTGTAGCACACCAGCCTTCAGAGTTCCAGCGAACGGAAACGAAGACGAGAACTGAGCACTATGATATGATGCGTGAGGCTTTGATAATATTCAGATTGCATGAAGAATGTTGTATGTTTTCTCTGTAACTCAAAGTCCTATTTATAGGACTTCCACATCTTCAGGGAAACCAGCAGTCACATCTGCCACTAAAGGCAGAGATAATGGGAAGAAACGTTTTTCAGGTGTTAACTCACCATTAACTAGGAGTTATCACCATTAACTGGTAATCAACACATTTAACACTCCACATGAAAGGTCAGGTGTTACTTTCACATGAAAGGTCATGTGTCCAGATTCATTGTACCTGGAGATGTCTCACTCGGGTTGGGTCAAAACCCGAGTCCAAATCCAAATTGGATTTGATTGGGCCCAAGGCCCAACCGCCCAAGTCCAATTGCCAAGAACCAAGAGCCAAGGACCAAGTCCCAGGTCCCAGGCCCGAGCCCGAGTCGGCCGGCCGGCTGGCGGGCGCGCGCGCGCGTGTGGCCGAAAACAACACCAACACTTGGTGCATAGCTTTGTGCTTGTTGTAACCTCTCCAACTCTCTTTATTATAATAAAGAGAGTTAAACTCATTTAAGAGTCCAATGTGAGAGTGACTCTTAACCTTTCAAATCCCACAATCAACGTTTTACGTGCCCTTTTATGGCTAACTTTAACAATTTATTTCTTACTCACTGAAAATCAATTTTGAGAAAATAAATATACCACGAGTATCTACTCGGAACGTAGAATTTTTCTACAATATTTAATTCAACTCAAATTAAATATTTAGCCATAAAAAATTCAGTCAAAACCAGGTCAAACCCAAGTTTTATAACTGATTTTTCCAACAATTGATAAGTTAGTGTGTTGAGAAGTTTCATCAAAAACTTGAAACACAAACTTATAAAATCACATTTTGTTTATAAATTCGACAAGTTATTTTTTTAGTTTAATGATCAATAAAATATTACAATTTTTGTGAAAATCGTCTTGATTCTCATGCTTGTTTCACTGTTTCCATATCATCTTTAGTTGAACAAAAAACTTAAACTTACAAACAAGCAAAAGGATCTTACGGTACCTGTTTTGCCCCGTTTCTTACATTATATCAGGACCGATTCTATTAGAACCGTGCGATATTAGATATTCACTTGTGAGTTGTCCCACATTGTTTATATAGGGAAAATAGGTCTAATTTATAAGTCTAATGGGTTACTCCTTCTTCTAGCAATTGATTTTGGGATGGAACCTAATGCAAGTGTGAGCGTCCTGGCCCGGTTTGGGGTAGATCGATTCTTATTCTCACCGGTAGAACGCCGGAAACCTGCAAATAACTCTCACACCGGGAGTTGTGTCCGGTGAAGAGCCTCCGATGCTTAAGTCAGTATGTGTATGAGTATACTGAAGAGAATAATGGAAAAATCGTGTTTAGGAAGAAAGGCTCACCCCCTTTATATTGGAGTGAGATACGTGACCTAAGGCTGCCCGAATTTGGTGAGCTGGCTGCCCAAGCTGCCCGTCCGTACTCTGACACACCGCGCGCATGTCAGAGGTGGCGCGGGACGTTGGGTGCTGTCAGAGGTGGTTGTCGCTATCAACCAATGTGTTCTCGACACGTGTCCTTCTGCACATGGAGTGAATATTCTTCTGAAATTCTGTTAGAAGCTCTTACACGCGCCTGTGACTAGGTCGATCCATAAAGTGTTAAGTCCGCGAAGTGGTCGACCTGTTGAGGTCGACTAAACTGCTCGATCGTTTACCTGGTCGAATGATGGATTGGTCGACTGCTTGACTGGCCGATCTTCCCGCCACTTGGCTCGGCGTTTCCACAGTACAGCCCCTCCGACCGGTTCAACAGACCGGTTTAGCCTTGTGGGTATAATATCATATATCAGAACCTTACTTAGGCTCCATCTGGGCTTTCTCCGTCTTGGTGCGCTTTACGTGCGTGTGACCGCACCCGTTTTGTAAGATATCAGAGTCGGTTCTATTATTGACCGTGCGGTAACATACCCGTTTACCCAATCCGTTTCTAATAGGCTTAGGCACACGGCTCCGTATATGGGTTTGGGTTCCTTATGAAGGACTCCCGTTTACCCAATCTGTTTCTAGTAGACTTGGGCACCCGGCTCCGTATATGGGCTTGGGCTTCTTATGAAAGACTCACAAGCGATGACGTACCTTTTTACCCAACCTGTTTCTAATAGACTTGGCACCCGACTCCGTATATGGGCTTGAGCTTCTTATTAAAGACTCGGACATATCATTATTTATTTTGATAAAGTCATTGAGAAATTCATTCCGAGTTATCACAACAATAAATCCCAACCCTGCAAAACAAGCACGGTTCATCCTGAACTTTTAAACTCTGGAACTCTTTTTTTTTTTTTTTTTTCATTTTTCTCCTAATAATTTTAAAGTCCTTCCCGTTGCATGATCTACAGAATAAAAGTCATAAACCTCTTGAAAGATGTCATAAATGTTGTCAATTTGTTATATATGTCAAATAAAATTAAATAAAAGGTTTTAATAGGATTTCTCATCTTTATCTATCGTTTATAAAATTGATTTAGTTTACCATTTTTCTGAATATTTATACCTATTTATCTTAATTCCTATATAAGCATGTCCATGTCTAGATTGTATTGACTTGTTAAAGCTAAAATATTCAAAGTAGTATAGACGAACAATAATGAAAACGAGGGTGTTTGGACTTGTTTCTTTTCGTCCTCTTGGTTTCTTCGTGTAAGCATTTCGCCTTAGAAACACACATGAATATTTGGATTTAGTATATTATTTATTTTGATTTTGATTTTTTATTTTATTTCATTTTATTTTTTGGTTATTTTGTAGTTATACATGGAGAAGCAACAATGTGCGAGGCCAAGAGCCAACTATTTAAAGGGCTATGCCTAAAAAACGACAATTGCGCCACGATTTGCGAAAAAGAAGGTTTTTTTATACGGTAAATGCAAGGGTTTTTTTGGAAAGTGTTTTTGTGCCAAACAATGCTCCGATGGGCCTCCGATTGGCAGTGGCGGCGGTGGTGGTGGCGGAGGCGGCGGCAGTTCTGATGGACCATCGGAGGCCGGTCCATCAGAACCCAATGGGCCTACGGGTGGCAGTGGCGGCGGTGGTGGTGGCGGAGGCGGAGGCGGCGGCGACGGCTCTGATGGACCATCGGAGGCCGACAATCCACCTGAGTAAAGAGCAAACTAACAAAATTTATCATTCAACTTATTGTAATGGTTTTAGAAAAGAAAATCTCAAAGAGAATAAGAAGGTTATGATTTACATTACCAAAAAAAAAAAGGCATTAATGAAATTAAATGATTCATCCTTTTTCTAGTATATAGCACATTGTCACATTCATTTCATAGTGACAAAATATAATTCATAGAAAAAATGGATCCATTTTTTCTTGATTTGCAAACAAACTTCACTTTGTGGGATATCAAATGAAAATGGCATGTAAACTAAATCAAATAGACAGATAATTGTGAACAAAGGAAGAAACATGTCAGAATATCCATGTATGATTCCAAAATCAAGTCCCCCCACAATTTTTACACAACATTTGGATAATGTTTTACCATGAACTTCCAGTAGTTTTTTTCTTGTTCTATTCTTTTATCAATTTTACAAATCAATCTAAATAGAAAATGAAGAACAAACAAGTCAACGACAAACAAGGGTAAATCGGTCATTGTTTGTAGCTCCAATCACTCATCTTGCCCTTCTGCATTACACCGTTTTCGGCCAGGTAATCGACAAATTCGTCTATCAAATAGGGCCAAGCGCCATACGGATCATAGTTCGACAATGCAGGATCCACTGTCTGAAAATATACAGAAGAATAAAACATATATATCCAAAATAGTCAGAGATACAAGAAAACCCTCCAATTTCGTTGAAAAAGAAAATGTTTATAACAAAATAGCCTTACATTTCGATCTAATTTCAATAAAATATATCGTGCGTGATTAGAAGTTACAGTTACCACTTGATATTCATTTCAATTTTTCAAGATTGCAAACTTAACTGGTGTATATTTGTGTTGTTTAAAAGGTATAAATCAAGGAAGGAAGGTTTAATAACCTTAGGCTGACCGGGCAGAAAAAAATAAATAAAAAAAAAAGCAATATGAAAGTTTCCAAGATCGTTTTTTTTCAATTTATTATTTACCCGAGCAAACTCCAGTAGCTGGGACCAGGTATCACGAGAAATCGCTTTGTTATGTTTTGCCTGAATCATCAAAAAGCAAGGTAGAACACGTGTCACTAAGAGACTACTGCAAAAAGTTGGAGTGAGAGTGAAAATTTAATAAAACATTCTGAAATATAGTAATAAATAAGAATTTTGCCCAAATAAAATTGAAACGGGAGACACGTCTATCCAACTATAAGTTCAAACTCAACTAAACTTTTCATCTGATAAATACTAATCACATTTATTTATGGACCTCGGTCAATTTCCAAAAAACTCATAGCTGCAAGCTGCATTTGTAGTACCCATAATCCATTTCCTACCATTTTTACCCATTTTCTTCAAGGAAAGATAGACATTTAAGTATCAAGTACCATCAAAGATCTAAAATTATACTTTCAACATCACATAAGAAGTCGATTATGTGCTCAAGTCATATTTTTCCATAGTTCAGGGTCTACATGCACATAAAATGAGAAAAATGATGAAGTGTGATTGCTTTTAGAGTTATTGGTAATATTCATCAACTTAATTATGAGCGAGAAATTGAACAATTCATCACATAAATTTGGATAACATATTGTCACCTGCAAGAACTGGCACCAGTGATCAACTAATGGCCACTGCTTTTCCGCAAATAGCAACTGCCACATTCCAATCGCAGTATCTAATGCCAAAGACTTCTGACCCTGAAATTTAAAAAAAAAAA